TCTCAGTTCTTCGATGCAATCCCTTACCAGCCTCGACATAACTTTCTGACTTGATAAGACCTCAAGGACCGCTTGGCTGTCTGAGATTATTGGGATCTGTTTATTTGCGATAGCTCTTCTATCGTTTGTTCTTGCACTTTGCAAAGTTGCGTAAACCTCTGCCTGAAATACTAAAGTGTATCTTTCTATTCTCAGGGAAACGCTTGAAAACATTAAGATTAATTTAAACTAAGGTTGACCTAAATTTGAATTACATTATAGACAAAAGTAGAAGGGCAGATAACATAACCAAACAATTCGCAATTTAGTTAGTGTGTACTTATTTCATTAAAGTTTGGCGGTCTAATTAATGTCCAATATCTAATAACTGAAACAGACTTATAAAATTAAAATAATATTTATTTAATAAAGTAAAAATGTTTTTAAAAGCGATAGTTAGCAATTGGAACGGGTCGCTTAGCTCGACCTTTGGTGTAATCTAAATTCTGCCCTGAAATATTAAATGTAAATAAAGCTTATTTACATTAAAAATGCTGTTACTTCATATCTTTCTTATTTTTCAAATAATTCTCCAATGAAAACTTCTATTATATCATAGAATGACATTTTACTATTTATTAAAAGTTAAAGGTGCATTTTAACACCACTATGTTTTAAAGGACTAAAGGAGTATGTTTAGATATTGACAGAAGTAAGTAGGATAGTGAAAAGGAAAATATTTTTAAAAACCTTCAATATTTTAACGGCTGTTAAATTATAAAGGATTCGCTATAGAATAGACCCCATATTTTCTGTTACTCTTGGATTAAAGTTCGAATTATAATGAAAAACATATAAATAAGATGTTTTACTTATTACTTATAACCATGTGGTAGACACGGTAATAAACATTTACTCGAATCTGGGTAGCATTGACTTTGCACGATTATATCGGAGTGAAGGTTACTCCCATTATAATTAGAAGAGTTTTCATAATAATTGTTCGATTGCAAACGGATACAATAAATTTGTTATTTATAGGGCGGGCTCCAATTAAAATTCAATAATGCGTCAGGTTAATAATTTCTACGTAAATAACCAGAATTTTGGGCGCCTTTCATAATGGTAACTTTTCTTTTATTTTATTGCCTTTTGTATAAACTTTCCTAAATAAACTTATATATTCTTTAGTTGCTAACATAAAATGATGTGAAAAAATAAACCACCTGCTTCGGGACAAGGCTTCAGTGATTAGAAACATATGAAAGACTTCAGGTACATAAAAATATTATGGGACATACAAATTGTATTTTAAAAATGAAAATGCAAGAAGAATCGGAAGCAAGAATTGACTCCAAATTAACTATAATGGAGTAACTTACGAGAGTTAATATCTCAAAAGTACAAATACAAGACCGGTGCAATGAGAATCTATCCTACGACCGCAATGGAGGTGATTTTAAACATCACTCCTATACATTTAATGATAGAGAACGTGGTAAAAAGATATAGGAATCAGGAACGGAGTAAGCAGACAAAAGTCTATTAGCTTTAGGACTAAAGATACTTGGAATATGCCCCAGGATAAAATGAGAAATCTGCCGTTTTTTTATCTAAAAAAGTTTTGCAAAAAACTGTATTAATTTCAAAGAAACAATAGTTTGTGAACGGATAGTCAATTTATATAAGTTTTATAAACGAAAGGCGGTTTCTTCTTTTTAGTAAAATGATTTTGTTGCTGATACAGTAGCAGCAGCAGCACAATTGTCTCGAGAAAGTATCCATCTTGCTTATAATTAAAATACATGCTATACGGATGGTTCCAAAACCATAGAAGGAAATGGAATAGGAGTGTATGGGACTAGAAACGGGCACGCTGAAAGTTTAGGTAAATATATAAGCATCTTTTAGACGAAATTTCACGCCATTGAGAAGTGTATCTGGTTCAACATCTAGAGAAACTATCGCAGACAAGAGATTATCATCATGTCCGATAGCCAAACAGCTATCAAAGCGTTGAGCTCTTACGTAATCAGCGCTTAAAAATGGTCTGGAGATGCATACAAAAACTAAATGAGCTAGGTGAAGAAAATACAGTTACTATTACTTTGGTCCTGGGACATAACAGAGTAAATTGTAACGAGGTTGCAGATAGTCTAGCAGGGAGAGGGATTCAAACACCCTCTTTGGGACCTAAGCCGTTCTGCGGTATCAGCAGTAAGACAATTTTAGGAGAGATTAAAAAACAATTGGGCAGTAGAAGAACCGATAACTGCAACAATCTCTTGGGGCTAAGACAGGCCAAAATACATTTGGGTGTATATAACCAGAAACGATCAGATGCCTGTATCTACCTGAGCAAGAACAGACTACTCATTGTAAGAAGGATCCTTTGCGTGAATTGTCAAATTGAAAGACACCTTAGTAAACTCAGAGTAATAGAGGATAGTAAATGCAGATTCTGTGAGGAGGAGAACGAAACCACCATTCACATTCTGATTGAATGTGTAGCACTCCGGATTTCAAGGGCACTATACTTAGGAGCATACCAAAAGAAGAGGACGATAACTTGAAACCACTCCAAATCATACACTTTCTTGAGAAAATAGGATTGGAAAGGTCTTTATATGCATCAGGGCTATTTCCGAAATGCATTAGCGACACATGGGGGTACACTAGATCTTTTAGGTCACAGTGCGTTAATAACCAATATCCAACATAACATACTCTAAATGAAAAACCGATACTCGCAGATCTTGCATGTTCGCTTCATCTTCCATTCGTATCGAATTTGCATTGCAACATTGTCACAGAATATACTATACTTTCAGTCTAGATTAGCTATCTTTAATTGTAAGATTTGTTCAAGATAATGCAGAACAAGTTAAACGATTCCTTTGATTTCTGCCAAACTGATCACAAAGCAGAAGACATTTTTCCAGACGTTATGAACACCTTCAAAACGCTGAAAATCAACATTGAAAATTACAGATGTCAATCTTATGACAATGCTAGTGAGCAGCCTAATGGATTACAGGCTGAGATTAAAGAAACATGTTAGTATGCAACATACGTAGGTACCGGATGTTGACCAGAAACTACAAAAGTTTTTCGGGTTGTTTTAAAATCTATACGTTTTTGCTACAGCATCATAGAAATGTACAAAATAACTGCAATTATTTTTAATTAAGCCTGAAAATGTAACTATAAAACATTTGTTACATATGCGATGGTCAGCCAGAGAATATAGTTATGCCAGCCTTAAAAAAGATTAGAACTAACTAATAGCTGCTCTTGAAGCTATAAAACGTGATTCTGCCCACCAAAAAGCTTTGATTAATAATTAAAGCTACAGAGCTATTGATATACAAGAAGAATGTGTTCCTTTAAAACAACTCAACGTCTCATAAAATCGAAATACGAGTAGATTAAGCCAACCTAACCTATTTATTAGGCAAAATAGTTTGAAAGAAGCATTCTAATGTATAGGAATAGCATTACGTTTGTTCCTGCACTGCAATGACAGATTAGAGTGCTGAATATTCGTTTTTAGCACTCAAAATAATACAAAATGATGCTGTATAATAAACAGTTATTCCGTTAATTATGATAGTGTCAATGACGATTTTGTCAACCAGTTTGCGCATTGAAAAAATGTATATATTAAATAAATGGTGTTTATTCTTCTGTATGGCCTTTTTGAATATTTAAAGATTTTTCTTTTTTACATTAATTTATGGGGCTGCAAAGTTTATAGGGGCTATATCTTAAAATACGCCACTGATGGATAGTGAATACTGCTGTTTTGGTATGAGCAGATTTACCTTAAAAATTGTCCTTAAATCTTTCTGAGCATAATAATGATACAGCCAGTCATAATATATTGAAGAAGTGGATTATTTTAGAATAAATTGAAAAAAATTAACGATTGTTAATTATTGCTAAATACCGGCATCAAAATATTAACTTCGGTGCTACATTTTTGGATTGAGTGCAACGATTTTATTTGCAATAAAATAGAGTCAAAATTAAATCACGCTTCGCAAAACGCGTGATTCTGTAATCACCAATTGTTATTTTAACGTCTGCGAGCAACCAGAGCAAACCAAGATTGGTCCATTGTTTGGCAATTAATAACCTATATTTTATTAAATAATTCGTCAGTAGTAATTTTGACATACAGGTTCAATTTCAAACGAAAACAGTCTCTAAAAGGTTGTCCAGGTTATGTTATTCATCGAAGGATCTTTTCTAATACATGCAAAATATTAAGGACAGCATCGCTGAATTAAATCACATCCCTTTTTGGCAACAAGCAAGTTTTACTTTAGTCCAACTAAAATACAGTATTTACATTTAAAATTATTAATTTATTACGACTTTATTAATATATTTATGAATTTTCATGTAATATTTGATTTAAAAATATTCTTTGTTGTTGTTATTTTATAACTAATTACTTAAGTGTATCTTTTGTAACCAAGAGCAATTCACAGATATCAAAAAGCGAGTTAGGAAGCTGTAAGACGAAAAATTTTTTTAACCCTATACAATCGATTTTACTTCTCTTCGCATTGTTAGTTTCATATAGAAATAATTTGAATTTCATGTCATTCATATAGATTAAATTGTCAAGCTATATCAAATCATATAAATATGTTAATGATCGTTCTTGCAACCGGCTGATCAAGTAAATCAAATAAACAAACGCTGTTGCATTTAGTGTATCTTTATTACACACAGTTCTGCCTGACACGTTTTGTGTTAATAATTGAATTTGAAATTAGATAATTGGAATGCATTATGTAGGTTAACAAGAATCTTTTTCTATTATGTCACTAGAATGAGATATTTATTATTCATTTCATTGTGCACAATACTACTTTTTTTCGGTTCATTAATATTTTTTTTGCTTCTTTATAATCGATTGCTATTTTTCGAAACATGATACTACTATTATTTTTTATGTCATATTATATTTATAAATCAAAAAATGTAAATATAGTGTTTTGTTTACTTACCAATAAGGCAATATTGGGCAAAATTAAGAGGTCATCTTCTTTTCTTCCTTCGGATAGTTCTGGAACCCACACCAGAGGGTGCTTGGGAACAGCAGTTAGAGTACCATTTTCGTTAAATGTAACATTTTCATGGCTTAGCATTTCCCTAAAACATGGACCACATTAGACATTGCGCCCAAATTTATACAGCTCCCAAAATAGATGAAAAATAACCCCACCATATTAGTTATACAACTATGGAAACTTAATAGTTAAAAAATGTTCGACTTAATTGAAAGAAAATATTTACCTATAAACGTACGGCCCAACGTCTACTATTTTCAGTTTATCATCAATACCACTCATGTATGCTTCTTTATTTGTGACATTCCATAGATATACTTTTAAGTATAATTCTACTGGAGGAGATCTCCACAATTCATAAATTTCACCTCCTTTTTCAAATACCAATTTCTGTAAAAACAACACAAGAATATCTAGAGTAACGATGAAATGCGCCTACTTCTGGTATAAAATTCATGGAAATGAAATGAAATATAAAAGTTATAAAGAACAAAATAAGAGAATATAGTGAGATATGATGTAAATAAACTAATAGTTGAAGTAATTCGAAAAATACAAGTATTAAAAGTAATTTTAAAAACCGACTTCAAAATCGTGCAGATGCCGTCACCACATCTTAACCACATTTTTATAGGACCACCCCTGAGGTACCCCCTTACTAACATAAAAAGGATCATAGAAATCGGACACGGTGGTAAAGAATTATCGCTAAACATATATAAAAAATGAAGAGTTTGAGGATTTTTCTCATGCAACCAATTATTAGATTTTAATCAAATTTATATGGGACCACCCCTGAGGTACCTCCTTACTAACAAAAAAGAATCATAAAAATTAGACAAGTTGCTAAATATGCATTAAAAATGAAGAGTTTGAGGATTTTCTAATGGACCCAATTATTAGATTTTGACCAAATTAATATGGGACCACTCCTAAAGTACCCGGTTTCTAAAAAAAAAGAATCTTTGAAATCGGACACCGTGTTAAAGAATTATCGCTGAACACATATAAAAAAAATAAAAATAAAAACATAAAAATTATTTATAACTAAATTTTTACAATATAGTATCACGTCACCATAAAAAAATACACTATAAAATACATGCGTTTAATTAAAACTGAGCACTAACAAGGGCAAGGGCAAGAAATACCATAATATGTGGGAAATATGAAAGATGTCAGAACTTATAATTAAATTAAATATAAGTGATACTAAATTGGTGTTTAAATGAATATAACTTGTGCAGGTTGAAAAAGGTAATAAGAACGGTTTGGTTAGCACCATTTATCGACATCCGTATGGTCTTATTAGCAGTATTTATGACCTATAACGACTGGTCTTTCTGGGTTTACCACATATATAGGAAGTGTAATGAATTGGGTGTCGAGGTACGGACGTGAGGGTCAAAAGGTCTCATAATGAGGAATCCAAAAGAGAACAAATTGGAAAAAGCTGTACAGGAATGACTTGGTTTCCTCGCCCATTAAAAGAAGTTTTCAGTAAGGTAGTGGAAGTCTAGGTGCTAAAAAGATAAAAAGTGGGCCAAGTGGATAACTCCACAAAGTAAGAAGAACAAAGATAGACCTTTGATCGAGGCGGGAATAACTTTGTTAAGAATATAAATAATTCTTATTAGCACAAAAGTCCACATAACAGTGAAGGTGATGATGCTAATGTCACTCAAAGACACTGGTGTCCAAAACAGAACTACAGAAAACAAAATGAAATTACGAACATTTGCAAGTAACGAAGTAACTGAGTAGGAACTACTATGTTCATTTCACAAGATTGAGCATGCGCAATAGGTTCAGATTTAAAATATATAATTACTAATTAAAGGACATGAAAATTACTGAAAACGCAAGTAGTGAACTAATGAAATTCTATTACAAATTAAATATTATTAAACTCTAGTAATCAAGAAGAAGAGAATGGGGGAAATCTTACGAGTAGATACCAAAAACCGAAAAATAAGTACCTATCTAATGTTCATACTAAGAATAAAAGAAAATAAGAAGAAGAAATGGTTCCTTTATGTGGGATTGATTTTGAGAAATTTTCTTAAATTTTTTAATAAATTAATTCAGAAATAAGGATACAAGACAATAGGAATTAAATTACTAAATATTGGAGCCTAACATTGTTGTTTGTATATTTTGTTTTTTGCAAAACACGTTACAACTGGTATTATTTTTAATCTAAAATTTAAAGCTTACGAATATTATGTAACTTACCCATCTGTAGATCAAATCGTATGGATTAACTACATGAATAAATGTTCCTGATAAAACGCCGATCAATCCTATAACGGCGACTAAAATGGCACCTGAAACAAAAAAAGATAATTTATTCGCTGGTAAAAATACAAATTTCGTACATACTCAATAAGAAAAACAGTAAATTACTAAAAAAAGTACTAAAATTATAGAAAAATAAAAAAATAAAAACAAACGTTTAAGAGCAAGCTGGAGAAATTAACACACAAAAACTGTTTCACAGTTGTTTCAGCCAATGACCATTATCAGTAGTATGTAACTGTTAACATATCCTCTCCCCCTTTTGTATATCTAGGCCTGATGATGGCAATTGGTAGAAACTAGTTGTCGTATATTACACCACTATACTACAAACTTTGAGTTTTACTTTCTCCATTAAAAAAGTATAAATTTAAAATGTACTCATCCTGATTAATCATTTCTGAATTTACGTTCGCATTATTAATAACCAAATCGGTATTTTTCACAATTATTTTTATTTGAACACTTTTTCATTTTAGCAAGTTTAATTTTACATTTTCGTTATATCTGATATGAAGGATGGTTTTAAAATAAATTATTTTATTATAATTATTGAAAATTAAACCACGCATTGTAAACATTTGAAATAATAACAATTAAATTAAATATAACAAAGAAACAAAATATTATAAAATATAACTAAACAATAAAGACTTAATGATTTTTGTTGTTGTACATGTACATTGTACAGGTATCATTAATAAATATCGTAATAGTAGTAAAAATTAATTTTTAGATTTAATTTAGATTGTGTATTATTCATGATTTCTCGTGGATTAAACAATAAAATAGATTAAGACACATTAATTAAATTTTTACTATATCCACAAAGGGTGGATGGACCTGTAAAAATATTTATTTTAAACTAAAAAAAAAAGTAATTCATCATTTCAACTGCTTGTTAAATAAATACAATTCACGTTGAGAAACTTCGATTTTTATTATGGAGTGCGGAAAATTTACGAAATTAAAATTTTTTATGTAAAATTTTTTTGGAAGCTCTTTAATAAAAAATTGCATTTGTATTTTCGATTTCTCCTTACATTTGAGCATTTAAAAAATATAATAAAACATTTTTAATTTTGCAAATCCAAAATTGTAATTTTTATTGCACAACAAAATCGTAGTTTTTGAAGGTGAATCGTATTTATTTTACCAGTAAAAGAAATTGTAGATAATTGAACCTTTTTGAAAAATTTAAAGTAAATAATTTTACAAGTATAATTAAATCCATTCGTGGAATTTTTATTTGCGATTGTAAAATTTTAATACATTTCTTTGGGACAATACTTTATAATCGAAGTATCAACGTAAACAATTTTAATAAAAATATTTTTCATCTTGAACATGACTTTTTTTATTTTGACACATTATTTTCTAGAAAAATAAAACACTGGAATTACCGATAGTCATCAAAATAATACGATAATGATCTAAAATTTCAACAAACTATGCAAAAAGATAAACGATAATGATGTATAATTATTATTTAATTTTACAAATAAACAATACAATTTAAAATTACTCTGGATCACCTTCTCAAAAATTCTCAACGGGTATTTACCAATTATATTGATATCACGATCACTAGATTTGTTAAACAATCATAATTTAAAAGCGAAGAGCAGAAAAATACAAACGACAAGAAACCGGATGATCGATGATCGAAAGCTCTCGAAAACCCTTGAAATTACTTCATTTAATTATGATCTTTTTGTTTTATAACAAAGTGAACTGGTAAACAAACCTCTGTATTTATTTAATAATGATTTAGAAAGTAGGTATTCATAAAAATTATGAAGAAGAAAAAGAAGAAAAAATGATGGAAAAGAACAGTTAAAGGAAGTGACATTGAAAAATAACAGAACTTCAGAAAATATGTTCAAAATATGAGTAGTTCATGAAGATAGATGTGTGCATATCAGACAAATTATTTAATTAAAAGTAACCACAACAGGTCAACAGCTGTTTACACGCAGCTTAGATCAGCAAAGAAAATTTGTATTTCGTGCTATTTTTTTTATTTTATGGCCCAAATAACACATATAGGGGTTTATTCTGTAAAAATTTGGTTAAAATTAACCTGGTTATAAAAATAACCGAATGTTATATTTAATTTGGTTACAAAAATTATAACTTATGTCAATAATAAATCTAGTGATATGTCAAATATATTCTATTTCCTATTTTTAAAGCTGCGTTGGGCTTAATCTCAATAATTCACTTTTAGTCGTTGCCATGTCAATTTTAACTGGCATTGATTATAAAATAGCTAAAATTAAATTTATAAAATAGCAAATAGAGATTTGGGTTAAAATATAAAGGTTTTATTTTATTGCAGTCACAGGTAAATACAAATGTCTTATTATTTAGTTTTAACACCTGTTTAAGGCGAATTTATAAAACTTGTATAAGTGTGCTGACAGTTATCTTATACAAATGTTCTTACTCCCATTAGGTCTTTATTGAATCTTTCACAACAAATATAAGATAATATTGCAACACTTTTATAAGATAATTCTTTCAGAATCCTAGAATGTCCTCTGGACTCTTTCTGTGCTCTTATAAAAACGGGTTTGCTATGATTGTTATTTCAAACCATTATAAATCATCAACAAGAGTAAATATCCCCAAGTAAAAGTCGTGTTATTGTTATTGAAATTGGATGAACTTAGCATGTATCTCTCCCATTGGAGCAATTAAAAAACTGACAATTTTAAAATGAGAGTTAATAAAAATTTTTAACAAAATGATGCTCTAATCTAATGTATTCCACATTGATATTAGCTATTCTACGCACAGGCTGCAAAATGAAAAAGTAGGCCATTGCGTTCAACTGAACGAGTATATTTTATATCCATTCTATTCAGTATGAACACGCACGGATATGAAATCAACCAATCACGGTTCATGTTTGCTCACCAAACTACTATTATCCTTTTAAATTTTAATAAAGTGACAAGTATGCCAAACTATTTTATTAGTTATTAAGATTAAATATAACTAAAATTGAGATATTCTTTAAAGAATTGATAATTAATATTTCACAAATAATTCGTGTATATTTACAAATAAATCGTTAATTTTAATAAAATAATAATCAATTTAATTGTGGGTAGCATTAAAACGAAAAAGTTTGATTATCGATGGAGCTGAGTGGAGCTGAGTGGAGCAGTGAGTTACCATGCGAAAGGTCCGGGAATAAAATCTAATATTGTAGACTTATTATATAATTCGAGAGACGCTAAAATGGTGGTTCTTACCTTATCGAGAATAAGGCCCACAAGGGTAAACTTGTAGCATAACAAAAACGAGAAATAATTTAACTTGGAACGAAAGACCGAAAGCTAATAGTAGTATTAGGACGTTGAATTTTTTGTTTTGTGAAGCATTGGCATTACTTAGGTTAAACCATGTGATGATTTTCACAAGCTTTTATTTTTAAAACCATTCTATACCGCCTTTTGATTAGGGTTTAAAAACTTGTTCGAACAATTTATCCAATAATAACTGGCCCCTTTACCTATTAGGCCTGCTCGTGTAAAATATTTGGGCTCCTTACTTCGCCTATTTATATTCTATTAATAAAGGACAGAAGGATGAGTATTGCAACTATGTTAAAAGAAATAAATTGGCTTTCAGTTCAGAATTATGTTCAGCACATGACTGATATTTATTTATAAAATAAAAATGACATAAATCCATCGCATGAGATCTATTAGAAAAAATTCAATATAATTCACAATATCACAACTATAATACAAGAAGCCAATCTGACTTTCATGTACGGCAAGCCATCACTAAAAATTCCCAAAATACAATTTGTATTAAAGATTTAAAAAATTTAATAGACTGCCTACAGAAATTAAAAAAAAAACAATAAATGTATTCAAACAATACAATACAATAAACAGAACGGATATACTTTCTTGTGATAATACTCTTTAAACCTGCCCTTTTTAAGTATTTTCCTCAATTTATTGTTATTTTACCCCTCGTTTTACTACTTCCTATGTTTAAATTATTAATAGTTTTACGACGATAGGTTATAGCAACTTATAGATACAAAACTTTTTTGGTATTAAAGTAGATCCATCGAGGGCAATGTAATTTACAAAGGCGTTCTTTCAACTTACAAATAAATAGCAACTTTATAATTAAAATGAAAAACACAACAAAATACCTCGGTATCATAATTGATCAAAATTTGAAATGGGTTGATCACATTACGTCATTAAAATCCCAAGGTAAGAAGATTCATTTTTAAATTTTATAAATTGAGGAAATTTATGACTAGGAGTTTACTAATATTATTTACAATTCGCTGGTTGAATTTGTAATCCAAAACTGTATAATTGAAATTATCTACAAAAAACCAGCATTATATCCTAACTCTCTTTTATATAATAAAAAAGTGCTTTGTATAAGAACATTATATTATTTGTTTTGCTGTACCTTTATTTATGGAAAGCCTGAATTGAGATACACTACAAATTATTTGCAATAAATATCAAAAGAAGCATACATTTTTAAATAATTTAACATTTAAGAGCCATTCACACATCACAGTTGACATCTTGATACTTGACAGGCACAGCCAAGCATTATTCTGCTTTTTGCCAAATAAAATAGCCAGTTAATTATTCTATGGTGTTTCGACAGAGAGCCAGTAAATTTGATGAAGGTGTTTTTGTGGCTAGGGGCTACGCTTAAGTTAGCACCACCATAAAAATGTTATTTTTAAGAAACTGCTTATACATTTTTTTTAAATTGGTAGGCTTGGCGACTAATTTCGAATAAAAATAGCCTTTAAAATGGCTATGGTTTCAAGTATGAAGGTCTCAACCCGCCTTAGAAAGTTCACCTTTACTATCAACAGCTTTGTTTGACAGGTCGTTAGAGAATGTTTGCAATTTATGGAATGTTAGAAATGTTAATGTTAGAAATAATTGGAATTCCTAAAATTGTCACATAAGAATTGCATAGGCGGATTTTAAGAAAATTGATATTAAAGTAGTTAGGATGAACC